AAATATGCTTAGAAACTCTAGAGCAGATACAGATTATAAAAAACAGAGGAGATCAGGAACATGATAAAAACCATGAACACATAACATAGGAAAGAAATGGAATCCATGAAACAAAGATGTCCAGGAGATTAAAAACTCCATTGACAACAATAAAAAACAAACAAACAAACAAAAAAGGGGCTAGAGATTTAGCTCAGTGGTTCTGGTGCCTGCTTTGCAAGTGCAAGGACCTGAGTTCTATCCCTGGTACCAAAAAAATCAAAAATAACAACAACAACAACAACAACAACAACAAAAAAAAATCAAAAACTCTGTTGAAATCATACACAGTAAAATGAGCTAAAGTGAGAACAAAATATCAAATATAAAAGACAGGATTTCAGTTAGTGATTAGGAAAAGAGAGATTTGTTAAACATAGCAAGGGATCACAAAAAATCAATCCAGAGGCTGTTAGATGATGCAAATAATAACATAAGATTGATTGGAGTCAGTGGAAAAACAGGAGATAGTGCAAATGACATTTAAAAACTATACTCAGAAGTAATGGCAGAAAGCTTCCCAAACAGGGGGAAAAAGAATTTGACATACAGATAAGTAAGTCTTACAGGACTCTGATTAGTCACAATAAAAAAAAAAAAAATCTTCCCAAGGCATATAATAGTTAAGATTCCAGAAATTAAACACAAGGACAGAATGTGAAAAGCTGTTAGATAAAATAAACAATCTATAATGGAAAACCCATTAGAAGTGTAGCAGACTTCTCAATATAAACTCTCAAGTCAAAGAGATCTTAGACTGAAGTACATTAGGCCAAAAAGGAAAACAATCTCCAACCCATATTGATGTATCCTGCAAAATTATCTTTCAGAATTGGAGGAGAAGCACTTCCATGACAATGAATACCTGAAGAAATTCATGACCACAAAACCAGCTCTCCAAAGTATTATGAAGGATATTCTAGAAAGACACAACAAGGATTACAACTCCATGAATCACAACAGGTAAGGCAAGAAATTAAACATAAAAGGAAAAAAGGAAGCCCAAAACAGGAAAATAACTTATCAAGAAGATATAGTATATATGACTTATAAATATCAATGTTCATGGTCTCAATTCACCAATCAAAAGAAGCAGACTGTCATAATGGATCAAAAAGCAAGATCCAACAATATGCTGCATACAAGAAACACATTTAATTAAAAAACAAATTCACAGACTGAAAGTTAAAGGATGAAAAACAATATTCCATGTGGCAAGAACCCAGAAAAAAGCATGGAGAGCTATTCTATTTACAGACTGGATTTCAAGATAAATTGATTAAGAGATACAAAGAAGGTCACTACCTCCCTGTAAAGGGAACAATCCAAGAAGCAGGGATAACTATCATAAATATAAATATACCAAATAACAGTGCATTCAACTATATAAAACAAATATTAACAGACATGAAAAATAATATAAGTGCTAACACAGTTGTAACAGGAAGACCTCAATACCCCATTGTCACAAATGTACAGATCAACTAGACAAAAAGCAACAATGGAAATATTAGAACTGAACCAAACTGTTGAACAAAGGGACCTAGTAGATGTCTACAAAGTGTTCTGCCCCACAACATCAGAGTACACATTCTTTTCAACTGCACACAGGATGTTCTCCAAAACAAACCACATAGTAGCTCATAGAACATGCCTAAGTAAATGCAAAGGAATTGAACTAATCCAATGTATATTATGAGACCATTTCAATAAAATTGGAAATTGATGGCAAAAGAATTTGAATAACATTTTCCTGAACAACCAATGGGTCACAGATGAAATTAAAGAAGAAATCAGTTTCTACAATTAAACAAAATGACAATACAACATACCAGAACTTATAGGATGCAATGAAAACACCCCTACAAGGGGAATTTATAGCAGTGAATACCTGTATCAGGAAAATAGAGTAGGCTGAAAAAATCAATGTAATGTTGAACTTCAACCTTCTAGAAAAAGAAGAGCAAGTCAAGCCCAAAGCACATATGAGAAAGAAAATTTATAAAAATCAGATCAGAAATTAGTACAATTAAGACTAATAAAACATAGAGAATTAACAAATTGAAGAGGTGGTTCTTGAAAGATTAAGTAAAATTGACAAATCCATAGCCAATGTTATCAAAAAAGGAATGAAAAGACACAAATACATGCAATTAGGAATGAAAAGGGTAAAAACACCACAGATTCTGCAGAAACCCAGATCATTAATACCTACTTTGAGAACATGTACTCTAATAAGATAGAAAACACAGACGAAAATGGAAGATTCCTAGATATATGTGAATTACCAAAATTAAATCAAGGAGATATAAAAATTCTAAATAAACAAATATCAGCCCATGAAATTGAATATGTAATTTAAAAACTACCAACAAAGAAATGCCCTGGCCCTAATGGATTCACTGTTGAATCCTACAAGAAATTTAGAGAAGACCTAGTGCTGCTGCTTCTCAAACTCTTTAATGAAATTGAAAGGAAAGCAATATTACCAAATTCATTCCTGGTAGCAAGCATTACCATGATTTCCAAAATCAGAGAAAGATCCAAGCAAAAAGGAGACTCTCCCTAATGAACATAATATTGAGCTAACAAGTCAATCTGACTAATGAATAGAGATGCAAAAATCATTAAAAAGATACTGGCAACTTTGACGTTTGAATAAGGGACTACTGTGAGTGCTTATGCTACATTTACTGTGAGAGTTTTTTGGTTTATTGTCTCTCTCCTGGGCATGATACTGGACTATATTTTTGTTAGGTTTTGAAAGACATCTGTAATGTTGCTTTACAGACTGTCCATATTAATAATTTAATAAATAGTATATCAAAATTTTTAAAAAGATATTGACCAACAGAACACAGAAAATCATCATGAAGTTTATACACCATGTTCAAGTTGGATTCATCCCAGAGATGCACAGATGGTTCAACATATGTAAATCAATAAATGTAATATACTATATTAACAGAGCCAAGAATAAAAACTACAATCCTCTAAATAGATGTAAAAAAAGAATTTTAAAAGGTCCAACACCCACTCATAATAAAAGCTGTACAGAAAATACAGTCATTCATTGGAAAATTGATGCAAATTGATGTCATACACTTAAGTGAAATAAATAAATCACACATGCGTAAATACTGAATAGTTTCTCTAGTGTGAAAAACTAAAAGTGTAAATAATGTAGAAATGGAATAATTGACAATGTGAAATAGGAAGAAATGGGCTAAAGGTGTAGGGGAAGTGGGAAGGGTAGGGGAAATGTAATAATGGAAAAGAAAAAAAATGAGAAAACAAAAAAATGGAAATAAAGTTTTTGTAAATAGGGACAGGAAGAGCATGTAAAAGGAGGGCAGGGCTAAGAGGAAAAACTGAGAACCAAGACCTGTCATGTAAAGGTACAAGATCTCAAAAATGAATGTAACTGTACTGTATACCTAAAAAGAACCAATAAACTCAATGAGAAAGAAAAACTGTACAGAAAATTAGTATAGTCTTTATCTCAATCGGATAAAAGTCATCTATGGCAAACCAATAGCCAAAATCATACTAAATGGACAAAAATGGAAATTTTTCACTTAAATATCAGCAACAAGACAAGGATTCCACTGTCGCCACTTTTATTCAATACAGTTTTGGAAACACTAGCCAGAGTAATTAGACCAGAGAAAGAAATAAAAGGAATAAAGACAGGAAAGGAAGAAGTTAAATTATTATTATTTCTGGATGACATGATGAGCTACATAAAAGACTCCTCCAAAACTCCATCAAAATACTTCTAGATCTGATCACCAAATTCAATACAAAGTTAACACTCAAAAATCAATAGCCTTCCAGGAAGGGAGGAAGGGATAAAAGGAGGGCAGCAGTATGGGGAAAAAATGAGAACCAAGACCTGCCATGCAAAGGTACAAGATCCCAATGATGAGTGTAATCGTACTGTATACCTAAAAAGTACCAATAAACTCAATGAGAAAAAAAATTAATACCCTTCCTTTACACAAATAACAAACTCACAGAAAGAGAAATTTGAGAAACAATCCCTTTCACAATACCATCCAAAAAATGAAAGGCCTAGGAATCAATCTAACAAAGGAGTAAAAGATATCTACATTGAAAACTACAATATTCTGAAAAAGGAGATCCAAAAGGATATCAGAAAGTGGAAAGACGTCCCTTGTTTTGGGATAGGAAGAACCAATATAGTGAAAATGGCTATACTCCCAAAATTGTTATACAGATTTAATGTGATCCCAATAAAAATTCTAATTACATATTTCAAACAATTAGGGGAAAAAAATCTTTAAAATAATTTAAAACCAGAAGAGACCTAGAAGGCAATTCTGGGCAATAAATGAAAGGCAGTGTATCACAATACCTGACTTTATACTACAAACCTACTGTGATAAAAATAGCATGTTACTGGCAAAAGAACAGACCTGAGGTTCAAGGGAACAGACTAGAAGATGCAGAAACAACCCCAGATATACTCAGCTCCCTAATCATTAGCAAAGGAGCCAAACACCTTCACTGGGAAAACAAAGCCTCTTTAATAAATGGTGATTACTAAAGGCTTTCCACATGTCAAAGATTGAAACTAGACCCATGTCTATCACAAAGAACTAACCTAAAATCAAAATGCATCAAAGATATAAATATTAAAACAGAAACACTAAATCTGCTGGAAGAGAGAATAATTGGAATGCCTGACAACACAGGAGTACACAAAAAATTCATGAATAAAATCCACAAGGTAAAAACTACAAAGAATCAACAATTAGAACTGTATCTTGTTAAAAAGCATTTGCACAGCAAGAGAAACCACCAACAGAATGAACAGAAAACCCATATCATAGAAAAAAATTATTAATAAAAGAATCAAAGAGTTGGTTTTTTGAAAGAATACATAAAATCAATAAACCCTTAGCTAACCTTATCAAAAAAAGGAAAGAAATGACTCCTGCTCCCGCGCCTCTGCAGGACGGTGTCGGGCGGCACAGCCCCGACCCCGGCGTCTTCACCTGTGCAGGAAGCCGGGGGACGAGCCGGCGCTTTGGGCACGTTTGACCTTGGTTGAAGAAAAAAATTAGCCTGTATGTACTGCTTTAACCACTTGAAGAATGACAGATGACAAAGATGTGCTTCGAGATGTGTGGTTTGGACGAATTCCAACTTGCTTCACTCTGTATCAAGATGAGATAACTGAAAGGGAAGCAGAACCATACTATTTGCTTTTGCCAAGAGTAAGTTATTTGACGTTGGTAACTGACAAAGTGAAAAAGCACTTTCAGAAGGTTATGAGACAAGACAATAGTGAGATATGGTTTGAATATGAAGGCACACCACTGAAATGGCATTATCCAATTGGTTTGCTATTTGATCTTCTTGCATCAAGTTCAGCTCTTCCTTGGAACATCATAGTACATTTTAAGATCACCATGGTAAAACTTGCTGCAGCATTGAAGTCCGTTGTGTCACCAGAGTCAGACAGCAGGCGGAAGGTGGAGGAGTCCCAGAAGGAACTTGAGTTGTGCATGAGGACAGCTGAACAGTTACTTGCACAAAAACAGAGCCCCGGTGGTCTCATCTCCAAGTACAAGAATCTTCACATGAGGAGAGCTGTGTTCCAGAGCTGCCACACTGGCTGTAAAGCTCAGCAGTGCCTCACAGCTGGGGCACTTGGCTGCGAGAGTGACTTGTAAAATTCAGCTATGCCACTGACGTGAGCCATGAATCTGTTTAATGACAGTGCGGTGTCTCATTTCTGCAAAAGCCTCAAAAGGAGGCAAAAGCAAGTGTGACTGGACAGATTCTTTGGTAAAGTGGCACGAAAAGAAAACGATTCCATGGAGCCAATAGACAGCAGTGATTCTTTTAGTGACAGTGCAAGTATCCTGTACAATAGCCTTCCTCCCTCTTGACTCCCTCACATAAGCCACCAGGTTTTAAAGTGAGGTGGCATGTAATACGCCTGGTTCAGGACCTCATTCTTACATGCTCAAAAGAGATCAAAAGTTAACATGGACAAAGTGAAACAAACTGGAGATGGGAGATGGAGAAATGTTGAAACAACAGCCACCACCACAACACGAGGTTTTCAATCCAACTACAAACAGAGCTTCTGTTCAGGATGTCCATGGGAAAACACATGGGTGCACGTATGTACACACAGCATGTTGCTTAGACTTCAGGCTGAACTTGTAAGAAAAGAGGTTAAAAGGCAAAAGGGAAATCTGAACCTTAAATTCTCCACAATCTCTCATTTTATTTTTTTTTCCTTATTTTACTAATTCAGTTTGTTTTCACAAAAATACAGTTGGTAAACTATTGGTAGGATTCTGATTCGGAGGTTAAATGCTCCTTGAATAATACCCTGTGTGAAATGAACATATCTTTTTCTTAATTTAAAAAGGAGCTAATAGGTTATGTAAATGATAAATCATGTAAAACAGTAAAGGCTGAAAGGCTTGATTTTTGTTTAAGGACGATTGGGATTCCCCCCTGGAGTGCATGAAATTAAAATGTGTGCACAGAACCAAGTGATTGCTCCAGAATGCCTTTTTAGTGGTGGTTGTCTCTGTGAAGTGCTTAGTGCCACCAACAGGAAGCAAAGTGGAACAATTCAGGTGGTGAAAGATTGATTCAAAGAGGATGTTGATGCAGAAGAAATATTGGCAGTTCGGCCATCATCAGTTGCAAGTAGCAGAATCAGATAGCGATAGGCATGGCAGGGGTCGGTGAGAAGGATATCACCGAAGTAACCTGGGGATGCTTCGTGCAGGCACGGTGCAAGTATCCCCAGTATGACTAGCTCACTAATCACCATCATAAGCAACATGGCCACCCACAGGCCCTGTATGTTGCAATATGGCCGCTAGAAGCCTAAAGTCTTTCAGCTCCTGTTCCTTTAAATACCGTGGCTGTTTGTGGCTTCAGGAAAGTTTTGTTTGAAAAATGTCCTTTTCTTTCACTCCTAAAGATACAGATGGCCAAAAGGGCTTGAAGAAAAGGAAAAAAAAAAATTGAACTGTGGACAGTCTCTCATTTT